AGTCATGGAAATACCAGAAAAACTGAAACAGCTCATTAAGTGCTCGCATGTCCTGAGTAACATTAAACTAAAATATGACTTTAAGCTAAGAAATATCTATTTAGATACAACGGTTCCAACTCCCTTAAGCAAAACTTACCTTAGATGAACTGGGCTATTTTTAGGTTCCCGTTGTATTATAGCTCTTCGCATATTTAGATAATATACATCCTAGGCTCTCAAATGTTTTGCGTTTGAGAGTCTTGGTTAATGTTTATTCTGGAGAAGAAAAAAAAAAGTTTTGAATACACGAAAAAAACAAAGTGTTATTTTCCTTTTTACGGTTTTTGGACTTGAACAGAGTCTGATCTGTGGATTTATCACTGAATATGTTCTATTCCCTTTTGTTACGTATTGACTGAGTTTTGGTTTGCATGGTGGTCGACTCATGTATAATAGGATACACTTACCCTGTCGAAGCAATTGTTTTTGCTTCATTTAGTGATTATGTGATTGCCTAGAATGTGATTTCTAGGTGTGTAATCAACAGTTCAGTTCAATACTGATGTCTTTAATCTATGTGTATATATGTTAATATGGTAAAAAGGACAGATAACGATTTCAGCTAAGACGACCACCTCGAAGACGTGCGTATGAATCGATTAAGTTGTTTTATCTATTTTTTTTTATCTATCTGACCTATATAGACTTAAATCATATTCATCATATGCATTTTGCAAATAAGAAGATTCAAAGGTTTGTATACATGTGAAAAGTAACTTTTAAATCTTGTATATTCTTTCATTTTTGCTGACGTTACTGGTGGTTTATTATTGACAAAAACAATTTGGAAAACCTTATACAGGAAACGTTTAAAAGATTAAAAACAAAAGTAGGACACAAAGACAGAATGCCAAAGAAACAATATCGAAATTTATATCGTCATACGGTAAAGTTGTTTTTATTGTTCTTAATCCTTCTTTTGTTAAATAACAGAAATTTGTCGGAGTATCATGAGTAATACCAGACTTTAAAATGTGGGGGAGAAAAACTTCTTTCCTGCAACATTTGAATCAATTGTGTAGGGACGGCTATTTCTTGTGCTTAAGATTAATACCATTTTAGAAGCAGGTAACATTTATTACAAATAACAATCAAAATATTTTTAACTGAAGGTATGCAAATGTGGATAATAATGTGTTGGAGTTCGGTATTTTTGTTATTTTACTTTTTGACATTTTTTTATTTTCCGAGAGGCAAGTTTTTGAAATGCCCAACGATGAAGTTCAGGATTATGTAGTTTGAATTAATGTTACTATGTCGATGCAACTGCTCGTCGACTGTACGTCGTCTCTAGTTACATTTGTTTTCTGCAGTATGATACCACTTAATTTATGGTAATACTTGAAAAATGTCTTCACGGCAAAAATCATACTTATTAAAATAAGTGGTCCTGATATATATTCATTTTATGCTCAATAAGTAAACCTAGTGAAGTAAACACGCAATCAATCAGTGGAATACAAATGTATTTTTCCCACTGCGCTTGCTTTATACAATTAATTTCCTAAACTAACAATCGGCTAACATATTTCACCAGTTGGTCAGTTTGACGATATGAATGTCTTCAATCTTGAACTAAAACATGACCATAGCTCTTAGTTTCAACTGATACATTGTTGGTAACAAACCAATTTAAATCGTTTAACTTAATAACTTACTATTGAGCACAAGAGTTGTGTATTGAGTTATGTGATAAGGGGTTTATTACGACTAAGTGATTAGTATGGTCAAGATGACAGATTTCTATAAAATGTCAGAAAACATTTATATGCATGTATTCATTGCCAGTACGTTATCTCAGCAAATTTACTAAGTAGTTGAAACTAGATCAAAGTTGTTTGCAAAGATTGATTGATTGATTAATTAATTGATTGGTGTTTAACGCTACATTCAGAACTATTGGCTATTTTGTGGAGGTCAGTTTTTATTGGCGGATGAAGCCGACCTTCGGCAAGAAAACTGACAATCCCACTCAATTAAGATTGAAGTCGAGCCAACCTGCCATGTTCGGGATTCGAACTCACAACCTGAGTGTTAGTAATGCAGTAATTGGACTACTTAGACCACACTGCCTCCAAAGCCCCTGTTCAAAAAGAGAGGCGCAAGATAGCAAAGGGGTCTTAAAACTCATAAGTCGAAGAAAATCCGGTAACGGCATGACATAAAAACGGAAAACGACCAAAAGAATTGCATAACAGTTGTAGTTCTGTGCTTGCTATGACTTTATTGTGTTGTTCTCTGTTGTCATTATTGTCATTATATATTATGTTATTTTGCTATAGCATTATGTCTGCTTCTGCAAAAAAATATTCATTCATTCAAAGTAAAGAAGGAAGGATGTGTGATTATCTAGATCTCCTCTTTTGTAGGGTTAGCAGTTTTGCTATAAATGCAAAGTATTTAATTAGACATTCAAAATCATGATCTTTGAATATCATAACAACAACACATTTGTGAAAAGGGGAAAAAAAATTCATAACATCAGGTTTCTTGAACGGGTTAGAAATTTCAGTTTGTTTTTAATGTACTTCGGAATGCATGACCGAATAATATTGGTTCATCTGGCTAAAATCTATGTCGCAAAAAAGATGTACAATTGCTTGAATGTTATTACCTTAAACGTAAAATAACAAAAATACCAAACTCCAAGGAAAACTCAAAACCGAAAAATGATACAGGCATTTCCTTATGTAGAAAATGGTAGACTAAACCTTGTGTTATGGCTAGCTAATGTACAGTGGCAATTTTGTCAAGCATATTCTAGAAAAAAAAATCAATAAACAATACATATAATTTTAGGTTCTGCAAGATTGCATGATATGAATGAAGGAAACAATGATAAGTTTGATCGGGGCAGTAATTTTGCCGAGGGTTCTAAATCGTGCAGAGACCGTAGAACTACGATTCAATGCCCCCATTCTGACTGGACGTGGCTGCGAGTTCAGGCGACAATGAAGTTATTATTTTTTTTATTCTGCGGTGATTGATTAATCTGTATTAAGGTTAGCTCAGTTTAAATTTCATCAATGTCATTTTTCGCCTTAATTGAAACTCTCAAGCGTTCAAGGCTTTTTACAATCAAATAGGTCGTACTCATTATTATAAGTATCATTTATTAAATGTTGTCCTACCAAGACGATACTGCTGCTAGAACTTCTGTTTGATTTTTTTCATTGATTGATTTTTTAAATTCTAAAATATATTGATTCTAAAATGTTTTGATTTTAAAATCTATTGATTCTTAAATGTTTTGATTTTAAAATCTATTGATTCTAGTTTCTATTGATTCTAAAATAAATTGATTCTTAAATCTATTCATACTAAAACCAATTTTTCGAAACTTTCAGTTTTTAAAGTTCCTTAATTTTGTACTTCGATTTGGCCTTTAATGCTTTTTACGCGCACCACTGAAAAAAGCTGTAGACGAAGCCCTCGTCTTGCATACAAAACTATAATCCTGGTATCTGCGATGAGTTTTGATAAAAACAAATATTGTTATTTATAGCTGCATGTATTGCCAGTTTTATATGAAATAATTTTTTTTAACGTGACATATATATTTTATTGCACACAAGTGCTGTTAACAATGTACTTAGTGTACAGCATTGCACCAAGTATCCCTGATATATTAGTTATTATGTATCCAGGGAGAATATCTTATTAGAGTAAATTGATATTACATTACAATATTTTAAATGATTTCATGTTCATTTCTATCCGATAATGGTTTTTCATATTAGTTAATATATATAGCGTGTTTCCATCATCAGCTTTGATTTTTTAATGTTCTGGATAATTTGAATATCTACGGAATATAATATATCGACAAATTGTCCTTTATCAGCAGGTAAGATGATCATAATCTTCTTGATTTTTGTTTGCACTTATTTAAACTTTGAGGTAAGAATTTGTTTTTGAAGTTCTGTCTAAAATATTTAAAATACTTAGGTAGACATGATTATACACAACATCAGTATATACAACACAAAGTTACAAAAAAAAAAAGAAAAAGAAAATAAGTGTGTGTTATACAATAACATATCTTTTAAACATGTGTTGGGTGTTGAAAAGTACATATGAAAGTCATCTGACATGCTCAAGTCATGTGACATCATATTGGTTAGGTAATATATAAATATATAAATATATGTTTAAGGTTAAAACTGTTATTATTGTTTTATGTAGCTGAGGGTTTTTGTAATTAATTTGCTATTTTTTCTTTTAACTGCATTATTGACTTCAACAATATATTGTATTTCTGTTTTAAATATTTTAAAGATATCTATTTTTTTTTCTTTTTGATTCATAGATATAATATTTGTTGATAGAAAAAAAAATGTTACAGTCAAAAGGTAGTCAATTTCATAGTTAGCTTCATCATTTTTTTATATCCTACTATAAGATTTTCCATATTTAGAATGCTTTCATTGAAACCTAAATATTTTCAGTTTATTGTCAGGTAAGTAGTGAAAAATAAAGTTAAAGCAATTTTATAGTTTTATATGAAATAATGGCATTTTCTTTTTTGATACTGACTTTATCAGCAACAATATTAAGTGAGCCCGCCAGGGGGAGCTGATATTCGACCTGATAAAGTCAGTTTCAAAAAATAAAATGCCATTATTCCTTTTATCGGCAATTTGTCTAAACTGTATGTTTGGTTGGAAATATGAAATAAAATGAAAAAAGTAAGTAAAATTCTTGGCCGCGTACAAAACGTTATGATAGTTTTTCCGTTTTTTGAATGAGGTCGCGTGCATTTTATTGATAATTTAACCGGATGGACATGAACACATGACGTTGCTGCACTGATACATGACGTCATTGTCTTCTATTTTCGAGTATAAAGTCATGTCCATGATCTGGCAGTAAGATCAAAAGGGAAAATGTACAAATTGCCAATAAACTGTTTTATTATGTTCTGGGGATTAAAACTACTTCATTTTCTTATATTGAAGATGTCCCAAATCGCAGAAATATCGAAAGAAGAAAGAGCTCTTTCTTCAGAATATACATTCAAGGAAAAAGTTTTGAAAACCATTTTCCTGGTAATTTCTTGGACTGCACTGGTGAGCATTTATAATGATAAGTAGATTCTCAAATTATGAAACTGAGTCAACTGTAACGTTATAGAGCATGTCATGTGGCAAATAAAAGTAATGATTGGATGATTGTAGGTTGCTTAACCGCCAGTGGTCAATATTTCATGCATATTCAGGACGAGAACAAATTAACAATAAATACAATAGGTAGGTCCTATAATAGAGGCTGTCCTGGATAAATGTCGGGAAAATGTGGACTGCCAGTAGACAATGAGGGTACATTGTATATGGACAGATATTTAGCCTTGCAACTGACCACCTACGGACCCCTCAAAGAGTTGCAAGGTTTTTTAACGTGCAAAGAGCGTGGCACTCTCTTTACACGAGGCATCGGATTTAACGTCCCCATTCTGACCGGGCGTAGCTGCGAACTTATACATCCCGCACAACCAAACGGAAGGCCCACTTTGGCGAGGGTTTTTACTGCCGGTCGGGAGAAGACCAATGGTAGCCATATTTCTATTCCCCAGTCGCCCTCGGGAAGTTTTAAAAGTAAAGAAAAAGAATTAATCGTATGTACTCCCCAAAGTATATTGGGTCTTCGATGTACGTAAAATTAAAGGTTTACACGTAAATTTGGAATATGTTAGACAAAATGGTAAGCATTTGCATTTTACATTCCACTAGATTTTTTAGTACTGCTAGTAAGTGTCGGCACAGTCAATCACTCGAATAACGCGGATAACAGCTCCGGTAAAATAATTGAAATTACAAGTTCTGAAATATGTTTCGATCTACACAAGTTGATTTCAAGACCAACATAATCCTTAGTGTCTGCTTTTGTATGTAATGTTTTGAAGACTAATTGTCTTTTTGTCGATTGTCATATTTAACATGGCTTTGTCGGTCCCGCTTCAACTAATGAGTTACGCATGTCCAATTCCTATTATAACTGAAATAGATTTATGTAGATTCATTAAATACTAAACACAAATATTTAAGGAAGTCCTTAAATAGAATTATGAAGGTCTGTAAATGTTTTAAATGTCATGAAATTAGAATGTTGGGATCCAGCAGTATTTTAGGACCGTTTGTAATGAAATAATTTTACACATTATTTCAGAAAGGTTAGAAATATAGATTTATTCAACAGAAGGAATTCCCATGTAGGCGATGTTTACTCCTGTTCCTGCAGACTATTCCTTGACCAACGCTGAGCAATGCCTTATTTTTCGATTGATATATAGTTCATAACTATATCATAAACATATGGGTTTGGCAATAATGAACATCTTCATAAATGACCGATGTGATCTTTTCATTACTTACAGGCGCTGACTATATTTTTTTTCTAACACAGACAATAAAGTTTCGTTTAATATAATTCAAATATTGCCTGGTTTTATAAGCCTGGTACCTTTGATAACTTTTTACATCCTTCATTTCCGTGGGTCGGTACTTATACATCCTGCCGATGTGTTATTGTGCTATCGTCAATTTTTGTATTCTTGTCTTTCATTTTGGCTTATGTCCTTTGTCTATATGCCATTTTGTTTTTCTTTGTTGACATATATGTTTGTTTTTCTAGGGATTAGGATTATAACATAATGTTGAATGCTGTACCCCTATTTTTGACATTTTAACCTATTATGTCTGTTTGTTTTGTTCACACATTGTTGTCAATATAATGGAATTTTATGCTACTGTCATACAATAGAGAGGTTCAGTTGTTATCCATTCGTTTGTTGTGTATTTAAAGGGACTTTCCGTTTTGAAATTTCCTTGGAGTTCGGTATTTTTGTTATTTTATTTTTGTTTCAAATTTATAAGAAAGGGCATATTTTAATGGTGAAGACATATCTTTGAGTTCCTTGTTATTTACAAATGTAAAGAATATAGTTAAACCCGTTTGAACAAATTGGACAACTTCAAACGTGCAATACTTATAACGCGTCACTTTCATGAACACGAAATAACTGTTACGCATCGTCCAAGGGTACATGAACTAACTGTTACTTGTTGATCTAGTGTACAAAAAGTTACTGTCAAGCGTTGATCTAAGGTACGGGAACAAACAGCAAGGCGCTACTCTAGTGAACGTGTCAAAAAATGCAATGTGATAAAATTGACCCTCGTTATCTATTTCTAAAACTTATTTTAGTTTAGATGAAAATGTACAAAACTAGTCATTAGACATTACTAAATTCGATAATCCTGTTGTACTATGTAAGTCTTTACTGAGACATTTTTTATTTTGTTGGGATTTAAAAAAAATAATTGTAAAATCTAAATCAAAATCCTTGAAGTATGTTTAGAAAGTGTACCATGCACACACAAATCCGTTAAATTCTTTCTGGTTCTTAAGGTGGTACATAACACTTCTATTGTTAGGGAAATATCAAGGTTCTCAATGATTAAAATTAGTGTTTGTCAAACTGCTATATATCCAATGATTTTTTTCCGGTAAAATATGTGGTTCAAGTTTTTTTAAACTTTTTATATTTTTGTCAAAGGATTTAAGAAAATATATTGTCAAACTTTTGTGAAAATTAAACGAGCGAAATTAATTTTAGTCAAGGTGTTTGGTATCACCTTAAGTGTCTGTTTGCTCTCTTAACTTTCTCAAATCATATGTATATTGCCAAATCGTTTCAGTAGATATTTTTCAGTGGAAATTTATTTCAACTAATTTAACGCATGCCATCTATAAAGACAAAATAATGATATTAAGAACTTATTTTTGAATCTGTATTTTTTATCTTCAAATCTTCTTAGATCATAGTTGTAAGTTCAATTGCGTTTTAAGTTTTCAAGTGATGAATATCCTTTTGTTATACTAAAAACAACTACTCAAAGGTACCAGGCTTATAATTTTGAACGCCATATGCGCGTTTCGTCTATAAAAGACTCATCGGTTACGCTCGAATAAAACAGGTTAAAAGGCCAAATAAAGTAGGAAGTTGAAAAAAATCGAGGACCGACAGTTTCGAAATGTTTTGCAAAATACTGCTGAGGTAATTTATTCCCGGGGTAGAAAATCTGGAACAATTCAAAGTTTTGTAAACAGTTTATTTATTAATATTAAAATATCAATGATAATTCATATCATTACAGAAGTGCGAACTACTGGGACGGTGATAGTAAAATACATGTCTAGCAAAGTTATAAATAGCGGCGAGTCGAAGGCAGTTATTTTCTAGATTTTCTTTAAAATAAAGTTTTAAATAAATAACGTTTTCGTCTTTCCATGTTTTCTAAAACATGTGCAGTAAATGGATGAATTTCTAAAATACATCTACCTATTGTGCTATTTGATTATGGAAATTGCCATAAACTGTCTTTACATCACTGCTAGCAACAGACTTATTTAACCCTATTTCAAATTATCGGCCTCGTCCTTAATAAACTTCAAATAAACCGTTCAACATGTCGAACATTTAAATATTTTATTTGATATTTGTAACACAATGAACGAAGAATTTATAAAATTCAATCAATTATAACAATTTTATGCTGTTCCAGTCTCTGATGTTCGAGTATCTCGACCGTAATCTTTGGTCAGTCAAAAATGTTTAAATCTTAAAATGACACGTTCAAATCAAAACATTTTCATTGAATTGATTTACAAACAGTGTTGTTCTGGAATACTAGTATTTGATTTAAAAATAAGGACACACTTATTGAGTGAATGTGTTCTCTATTCGGCAATAAAAAAGGGTTCTGTCTAGAAATGCTACGTTCACATCAAAGCTTATACTTTGAATTCTTTTTTTTTTACGATTGGTTGCATTTGAATTTACTAGTAGATTAAAGAGATTTGAACGTTTTACAATATAATCTCCATATAATAAAATTTGCAACCTTTCTTAAGTTCGTTTTTGGAATACCGGCTCGCACAATATACTGTGTTATAAATATATATATATATACTATTTATAATTGTAGGGACTACAGCAGGAAATCACAAATACAACATTAAACGACCTTATTATTCTCACAAATTCTAACTATGAAGTTATCTCTCGAGCAATGTTGGGTGTTGGAGTTGGTTATATAATCTCAGCAGTCATAGGTGGGCCAGTGGTGGACATGTTTAAAAATTCCAATGACTTGATGATAGCTTCATGTTTGCTTGTATCTGCACTAGCAACATTCCTTACGCCTTATTCGTCGTACTTTATAATTTTATGGATTTTGTTTTTCGTTCGAGGTATGTGTGCAGGATTACAAAACTTAGGTGAGTATGTGAGTATTGGTGAGTAAGTATACCCTCAATTTAGGCAATATTCAGAAAGTGGCTTGGCATGAATGAATTGTTGCCTTTATTTACATCTTAATCATTTATTAATAAACTGAGCAGAAACTATCGAAGATTTTGAATCAATATCAAATTCTAAAAAAATGAAGAAAAAAAAAAAAACAGTGGTAAAAAACACATTATTAAGATATAACTAACAAATGACATCCATTGACGATGTTTGCACGAGGCACGTGTCAGTATTAAATTAATATCAACTACAATATATCTCTCTACATACATACATACATACATATAAATTGTGAGTCAAGGGCTTCATCTAATGTTGCAACATAATACTGGATGTATTTTGACAGGTAGATATTATCCCTTGCAGATCACCTGTTGTATGCAATTTGTCGTATAAAGTTATGACGTAGATTGACCGATATGTTTATACACAGATATAATATATGAATAAAATATTTAGGGTCGACTTAAATATGAAATGGACTAAAAACAATTCTATAGAACACATGGAAGGCAAACATGTATACTTCATTATCAAACAATCGTTTTGACATATTTTTATACATGTATACGTCTATGAAACAACAACTTAACAAAACACCGAACACCATAAACTAATCTCTTAAATCCCTTGAATCTATACAAGTTTCGAATCAATTTAACACAAAGATCCCCAATCAACACGTGATAAAAAGCGAAAGTCAGTAACGAGATTTCTGCTTGATACAAGACCAAGAGCATATTAGTAGTTTGAACCAAAAACAAAAAATTGAAACAGGACAGGACTGAACTCAATGATTTCGATACTAATGACAACTGAAATAGTTAAGTGTAAAACAATACCGGTTAGCACTCTAATGTTTACTTTTATTTTGTATCTAATTTCATAGCTGGACAAATCATCATCTTTGATTTATGGAAGGAAAAAGCAACTGGCCCAATGCATATTATTCATTGTGGATATGGTATAGGGGCATTCATCATTCCATTAATAGCCAATCCATTCTTAGCTGTTTTGAAACCATCTCACGCAAACGATTCGATTAGTATGTCTACAAATATAACAACGACATTTTCGACTTACCCGAGGCTTGAATTTAACGCTACAATTACACAATATACAAAGGAATCAAGAATAAAAACTGCATATTTAATAACTGCACTAGTTGTTGCATCTGTGTCTTTTGTATTTGTGTTTTACCAATTTTGTTATCGCAAAATATCACACCTTTCTTTTAACAAAATTGAGACAGAAAGTAAATTTAAAAAATTGTTAAAACTGATTGATACAGGAACATGTGCAAATGGACATCGTTTGTTTGGGGCAGAGATTATAGGAATATTAATCTTTTATTTCTTCAATGCACTTGGAGGAGAAGTTATATTTAAAACATTTCTCCGGAGTTACTCCATAGATAATCTAAAATTTTCAGGAGATGATGGTTCCATTCTAAATACCATATTTGCAATCAGTTATACAGTCTCCAGGTTTGCCGGATTACTTACCGGTAGCATTATTCCAATCCGTATTCTATTAGTGTTGGAATCTTCCGGTTTATTGTTGACGACAATCATGTTAGAAATATTTGCACGTGATAATAAGCTGGCATTGTGGATATTGGTAGTTCCAATGGGAATCTTTGTCTCTCCGTTATATCCATCTGGTATGGGTTGGGGAAACTTTTTTATCTCTATGACAGGAACAGCAACTGCAGTTTTGTTGATTGGGGGTTCTATTGGTGCGATGGCTTACGGTTGGTTGATGGGATATCTTTATGAACACTACGGATACGAGATGTTCATGCACCAGACTTTAGCATTTGGAGTGATAATGTTTTTATGTACGATCTTAATGGTGGTTCTTACGTTTCATAATGCAAAACGCGCAGCTACAAATAACGATAGGAATGTTTCTACCTGTAAACAAGTTGAATTAAATGAGAAAGAAATATTATATCAGAACTTGTATGTGGGCTCAGAACTAAAATAACTAAGAAAAGTGAATATCTATAAATACTTCAGCGCAAAAATAATCATCAGAATTAATCACGAATCATTTGTTATTGTCAATTTTGAGTTCTTCTCTTTCATTTTTGCTTATATACTTTATTTATATGCATTTTGTGTTTCTTTGTTTTTATAGTGATTAAGATTATATTACAATGTTGACTTCTATATCCCAATGTTTAACGTTTTTACCTATAATGTCTGTTTGTTGTGCTCACACATTGTATTCAATATAATGGAATTTTATTCGACTGTCATACAAGTGAGATGTTTAGCTAGCTATAAAACCAGGTTTAATCCACCATTTTCTACATAAGGAAATGCCTGTACCAAGTCAGGAATATGACAGTTGTTTTCCATTCGTGAGATGTGTTTGAGCTTTTGATTTTGATTTTTATAAAGGACTTTCCGTTTTGAATTTCCCTTGCAGTTCGGTTTTTTTTGTTATTTTACTTTTTTCTAGTTATAACATTTTTTGCTATCCTTCGTTATATATTCATATCTGACAAGTAACGGGAAACAAATAATTTCTTGTGACTTAATCAAGGCCGAAGATTATTAGGCCATTGTGTCTGAATTACTGTTTAAACTCTTAATTGTATTATGCATGAATCCTTGTGGACAATGTTTTGGTTACTATGTCTTAATCACAGCAGTTAATCTGGCTTTAAGTCAATATGTCTATATAACAACAGACGCCATTTTGCCTTTTTACGTTTGAATTAATAGTATTGGTTTTTACGACTAACAATATCTTGAATCACGAACAAAATTGAACACGACCAAAATGTGAGGCACGAATATGAAATAGTTGAAATCAAATAATGAAAAAGAAGGGGAAAATTATATTTACAAAATGTTGTCCGGAATTGGGTTTACTTTAGGTCCTTTTTGGTTTGATCAGTTCTTATACATTTGGTTTTTCAAAAATTATGCCCTCGAACATCACTGAAGAGACATTTTCTTGTAGAAGTATGTGCATTAGGTGCAGCAATATTGGTACCGTTTATTATATTGAAAACATTTCAGATTAAGAATTGTGATTAATAGTCAAACGTATAAACTTTTAAAATCACATTCGAGAAAACGATATCTTTCATGAATCTCGTTTATGACTATATGACTTATCAGCAAATATGTCTAACCAACATCAGTTTATCTGTTTCTAAAAAATGAAAGCTGCTAGAAGAACAGGAACTTCCGGCACACCAGAATTCAACTGTTGATTTTAGAGTTCATCTTGGTCAATATGTTGTTTTCTTTTGATGTGGTCTGTTTCTTTTTTCTTTTAGGACATTGTGTTGTCTATTGCTTTAGGACAAATGATTTAGATTACTCTTATAGTATATTTTATATTTTTTATCCATTTGAATTAATATGATATTTCCATATCTATTGTACAAGCATACTAGAAGAAAAAGTCTTATTCTGAAAGTCAAAACGGGTCATTTCACTCAATTTTCCTCGAGACGGTCGAAAATTTAGCCAAAATAGTGGAAAAAGTCTCTGCTATGTGTTTCAAAGGAATGTTCTAGTGCCCCACGTGTTTGTTACTGTACAAATAAACTGTTCAAAAGTCATAAATCGATTAAGAGAAAACAAATCCGTGTTTCAAACTAAAATCAAGGGAAACACATCAACTATAAGAGGAAAACAACGGAACAACAGAAATCACTGAACTGCAACAAAAACAAACGCCAACAGACATAGAAACGGACTATTTGATAACAACTGCCATATTCCTGACTTGGTACAGGAAAACATGAAATGTTTAAAGTTTGATCTCACATGTCATTGAACTCTTTATTGACGGTTATATGCATGCACACATTGTCAATAGAGACAAGATAAAGACCACAGCAACTACGTGCATATGAATCAATTAATATGTTGTATTGTATCTATGAATTATCTTATCCACCATACGAATTTCATTGGTAAACACGTAGACGATACAGAGGTCTGTATGCGTTTACCTTGAAATAATTTTCATGTTTTTAACAGCAAAAAAAAAACAACAAAAAAACTTGTGCTTCCAGAAAAAACATTTTCTCGAAAAACTATACATTTTCAATGTTTATCAATGAATAAATTCCTTAGAAAAAAACAAACAAAAAACATTTCTTTTGAGTATCAATATTTCAATTGCTATCCATATAAAGGGTAGGAAATATGCAGGGATTTACCAACATGATTAGAAAAGAAAACAGGTTCTTCTAATGAAAATGAAAACTGCTTAGTTGTTTTTAATATTTCATTTCAGAGGATATTTACAAAAATTATTATATTATGAGAACCTGATCAATACGCATTGGGTATAAGTTTCATAACATTTGGTTGAGGCAAACTAAAGTTAGAAAACGGAAACAAATTTCGGGACGTACGTACAGACGTACGTATGGACAACGGTAACATTTCATGCCCCCTCCGCGGTGGATGCATAAAAATGTCTAAAAAAACTACAAAGAGTTCAAATCATGATTTAGCACTGCAACTGAAATTCAGCTGACTCTATCGGAATACTTTGTCATTTCAGAGGGATACAAACAGATGAATATTGCAACGAACTGGACATAGGTAATAGACACTTTTTAAAAAACAAACACAAATTAACTACTTCTTCGATGTTGAGGAAATAAATAGTTTTCAAAGGTAACATGCTTTGTGGGGGAAGAAATAGAAAATCGACTCAGTTCCTCCATATATAATGTAAAATAATGTATAGAACATGATTCAATAATACTACACTGTACTTATTGAAATTATATTAACTTTAAAAGTTTAATTTCAGAAGATTACACGAATAATCAATGATACAAAATGGAATATCTCATATAGGATTTTTTTTTTATGAAAAACAATAGCCAAAATGAATATATTTTAAACGAAAATTAATAATTTCCAAATTAAACAGACAACAAAAATATTTCCTTGGGAATCTATACATATTCAACTGGAATTCATGAAAAGTTTCCCAGGGAAAAAGGAAGTAAGATGATACTATTTACGCGAAAGTATTTTAGATATTTTTGCACCAGAAATCTTATAGCTTCCCAGGGAAATAATTCTTATATGGTTTCCCTGGGAAATAAATTGACAACAACTTTAGTCAGCTGCATATCAAATACGGCAAATTTACAGTAGTATTCCAGATCCGATCCGATACCCGATTAATGAATAATTTTGCCCAGGCTGTTAATTTTGATTAATTGATAATTTGAAAGTGATATGAATAAATGAATGCTCAAATTGGTATTTGTTTCGCACTACTGTGTGCAGCTATAAAAAGAGGGACGAAAGATACCATAGGGACAGTCAAACTCATAGATCGAAAACAAACTGACAACGTCATGGCAAAAAATAAAAAGACAAACAGACAAATAATAGTACAGATGACACAACATAGAAAACTAAAGACTAAGCAACACGAACCCCACCAAAAACTGGGGGTGATCTCAGGTGCTCCGGAAGGGTAAGCAGATCCTGCTCCACATGTGGCACCCGTCGTGTTGCTTATGTTATTAAAAATCCGGTAAATAGTCTAATACGGTAAGTCACATTCGTGAAAAGGGAAGGGTATTGTAGTTACGACATAAGGAACATATCCGATATCATCTGTGAAACGGTTATTCCATAACGGTCAACCAACTCGTGATGGCGTCCGTATAAGTTTCATTCGATATTCACGTCGTCTTGAAATTATTACTTAGCAAATATCGGTTCTGATAAGCTGCATCTTGATTTGGCAAAGGTTATATTGGCAACAATGATATATAGAATTGTGAACATATACCAGACAGGGATTATATCAAATACGGAAGATAAGGAATAAAATTACAGTACGGATATTAAGACCCGATCCACAATTGTTGCTATATGTTGACGTAATTCATGATAGTGCGAAGCACTAGTACTCCATACCTTTTTAGAAAGTTCACGTCATGGGATGTGATGTATTTCATTTCGCTATTGCAAATTCCTTCAATAAAGCTGACGGCAATGTTCACTTCGTTTCATGCTAATAGTGTTTGCCCATTATTCTCAGCTGTAGTTTGCCAGTCGTTAAGGATGCACTTAGGTCAGGTTAAGGAATTTTTGTCAGATGTTATGACTCCTTGGTTTTTTTCCTACGATACAGGGTGAAATATTTTGCCCCATAACACCCATTTTTCTTTTCATAAAAGACTTCAATAGCTCATAAAAGGTCATTTACCAAAATTGAGTCAGATTTTTGATTTCTTTTCTTTCGATTTGAGACCCAAATAATACCAATGCAAATATAAGGTAAAAGTCCGAGTCAGCCTTTCCCCGCCAATTTAAAAAAAATAAATATCTCGAAAAGGAGCTCCATAACCTATCAATATTTTTAGCTTATTTTGTTCCTTAACTAATGCTAATCTGACTTATAGTATCACTTTTGAATTCTAGACTTTTTTAATTTCACCTAAGTACATCCTTAAGATTATTGTCCTTGTATTGACCTTCAAACCATTTTCTTTTTCTAGAATTTACCAAAGAAGTTATGAAAAAATTATGCTATAGGTCAGACAGTCCAATTGAGTTAAATACCTAAATATAATAATTCAAAAACATGTCTGTCGTAATAGGTAACTTTACGACAAAAGAGATGATTTCAGCTTCCCAATTGTGAACTTTCCATTTCTATGTAGCAACATTCCAGCAGCGCCTGCATACGGAGTATATACCTCCCAATTGATACGATATTCCCGGGCTTGTGTTTCCTATCATGATTTCCTTGATAGAGGATTGCTGCTCACAAGGAAGCTATTAAACCAAGAGTTCCAAATGGTAAAGTTGAAATCATCCCTTCGTAAATTTTACGGACGCCATCACGAGTTGGTTGACCGTTATGGAATAACCGTTTCACAGATGATATCGGATATGTTCCTTATGTCGTAACTACAATACCCTTCCCTTTTCACGAATGTGACTTACCGAATTAGACTATTTACCGGATTTGTAATAACATAAGCAACACGACGGGTGCCACATGTGGAGCAGGATCTGCTTACCCTTCCGAAGCTCCTGAGATCACTCCCAGTTTTTTGTGGGGTTCGTGTTGCTTAGTCTTTAGTTTTCTATGTTGTGTCA